ATGCAATGCAAGCTTTGGAGGGGTATCCTGTTTAGAAAAGATGATAGGAGTTGAGATGAGTTTCTTCCAGGAGGGATGCTGTGTTCTGCCACTATTTGCTCTCCTTGTGCTACATGTAAAATGCAGAGGAAACGGAGAACACACACTTGGAAATGGGTTTGGGGTTCTGACTACATTTTTTGAATGCTTAGAAACATGAGGTCGTCTTTTCCCCTTCCTCAGGGTGTTCGTAATGTTGCAAGCGTTTGTCTGCAAATTGGCTACCCAACCATTGCTTCTGTGCCCCATTCTATTATCAATGGGTACAAGCGGGTCCTAGCTGTGGCTGTGGAGACTGACTACACCTTCCCACTGGCTGAAAAGGTAAAGTCTCAGACCATCTTGCTGACCAAAAACTTGCTTTTAAAGGCACAAACACAAAACGGTCTTGAAGAGAGGTAGTCTGAGAGCTGTAAGGCGTAGACAGACAAAGCTGTACGAGAGAGAGATCTGCGCTAAATAAGACAACTACTAACACCATAGAATTAATATTAATGGAACGCCCATGTGACTGGTGGGGTGCAAGGTGTGAGGTCTACATTGCCCTAGGGGAAGTCTGTCTGGTGGGTTGGGAATTCCCTGCCCCTTGACCCCCCAGCTCTAGGCATGGCTTTCTCACAAGGAGGATGGGGAATGTGCTTCTAAAGAGCTGCTCTAATGCTTGTCCTCCTTTTCTTCTCATCCTGGTAAGTCACCATCATGGCCTTTTGTCTTGTTAGTAAACTTAAGACACAGCTCTCTAAATGAAGTGCATCTTTTGAGGTTCTGGCAGTGCTAGCATAGCCTCTCAGTGTGCAGTGTGGGCTATCCTGACTTTAATCCCTCTGGAACCTCAACCTGTGTCCTTTCTAGGTAGTCCTGCTGGTAGGTAGGTACTGCCAGCCTCTAGGAAGGTCACAATTAATCGATTTGCTTCCTGAAGCAATGTGCTTGATTCTCTTTCAGGTGAAGGCCTTCCTGGCTGATCCCTCTGCCTTTGTGGCTGCTGCCCCTGTGGCAGCTGAAGTGGCTGCTCCTGCTGCTGCTCCAGCCAAAGAAGAAGTGAAGGAGGAATCAGAGGAGTCTGATGAGGACATGGGATTCGGTCTGTTTGACTGAATCCTGCCAGCACTGGCTCTTGCCACCTGCCCATTTAAGTACAGAAATAAAGTGCTGATTTCCACCTCTTGCTGGTTTTGGTCTCTGCAGACTTAAGGGCAGAACACAAGTTTTTCAAAAGGTCAAAGCTTAGGGTGGATCCGGTCCCCGAGGCCCGTTCAGGGGAGGGGGGAGGACATGAGCCTGCTGCGCTGAGGGGGCCTGGCTGACCAGCGCCGCTGCGGCTGGGCCCTTAGCGGAGCTCTGTGGTGGCTGGAGGCGGGTCGCGCCAGCGGGGGTCGGGGAGGAGGCTGTTCAGTCCTGGCGCGGCGGAGCCGGCTGGGTCCCGCCCCCTGAGCATTCTGCGGCTGCGCGGTTGCTACTAGTGGGGGGGTGCCTCCCGTTTCTAAGGGGACGAGCCCCGCCCCTGCCGAGCTGTCAGCACATGACCCGGACGCGAAGCCGCTAGTGCTTCCGGGTCGTAGCCGGCGCGATGGCGGCTGACACGCAGGTGAGCTCCGGCGCAGGGCCCAGTCCGACTGCAGCGTGACGTCGCGCCCCCTCGCCCCGGGCGGCTGCTCGTGGGGCATAGCCTGCCTGCTGGGCTGGCTCCTTCGCCCGGCGCCGGCGGGGCTGCCCCACGCGGCACCCGCCCCGGCTACCGGGAGGGTGGCGATTGCTGCGGCCTCCTCCCTCCCCCTTGGAAGCTGCGGGAGCGGCCGGGGTCCATGCGCGGAGCTGCCGAGGCCCCGAGCCGCCTCGGCCACGATCGCGATCGGGGTGGGGGTTGGTTCCAGGTAAAAGTGACCTGAAACGCAGCGTTTAGCTGCGGAGAGCCGTGTTCTCACTGCGGCGGCTCCGGGCGGCGCATGTCGTGTGTGCGCCTTGCTGGGGTTCCTGCTTTAGCTGTCTGCTAGGTGGAGCCAGAGCCCCACAGCTGAACCTCAAGCCCTGGCGCTACTTGACACTAGGAAGGTCCCCATTATCCTGCCTTCCCCATGGTTTTGCTTTGGCATCAGGGCGATTCCTGCATCATTCCTGCATCATTGCTGATCTCTAAGGCAGTGGGAGCTGCGGAAGAGTCGGCCCTGAAGCTCCTGCCTGGTTTGGCCTGTGCAAGGTTTTCTTGTAGCTTTGTTCTAAGCAGGCTGGCTCAGGCCCTCCCTGCCTCTGGCTTGATGCATTTATATGTGTTTGTTTACATTTTACCACAGCTGTTTCCATATATAATATGTCTGCCTGTGTCTATGTATAAATGCTAATAAAGAGAACAGCTAGTGGCGTATAAGGCCAAGTATATAATGACTCCTTCTCATCTTCATATGGGAGGAGTTGTTCATACCAGGAACATTGTGGGCACTGCTGGAATATAAACCACACTTATAATGGTTCTGGCAGCCTGAAAATCGAAGCATGTTTCATTTTACGTACGTCTCATCCAGCATGTGGTCAGTCACCATGAGGACCTGCCAAGTGTTCCAGTTTTGCCTCTAATGGCGACAGGTTTTTGTGACAGAAAAATCTCTGGTGTTCTTACTTTAACTGGCAGGCCAAAGAGCTGTTGGAGATTATTGTTCCCATCTCACTGCTAAATCCTCCTCTGGGTCATGCTGCCCAGAAGACTTTTCTTGCTTTCTCTCAGTTCTTAGAGAGGTCCCAGGATTTAGGATGCTTGGGTTGGAGAAAAGCCAGCATCTCCTGGGTGGTCCAGATAGCTTTTTTTAAGAATGAAGTGTGCACACAAACAGAAAAGAACTTTATCAATAACTCTGGATTAAGGTGAGTGGAGGCACTTCATGCTTCTGGGGATTCAGCTAGGCCTTCTATCCCCTCCATGTCCGTACCTGTTGGCCGTGTCTAGATGGGCACATCTATGCGGTATGTGGTGCCACAGATGCACAGATCCAGCTGTTCTCTGCACTGCAAGGTAGAAGCATAGGGAGGGGGGGAGGTTGACGCTGGGAGATCCCAAGGTTAAAAAACCTACACAAAAAAATGTGGAGCAGCGCATGCGGGGGCAGTGTGCACCAGGGACAGGTAACAGCAGCACAAGGTGTGTTGCTGCTTCTTGTCCCTGGGGAAACAAAAATCCATGCTTATATGGATGTGGGCATTGTGGTCAGACTGATGGAGCTCCATTTTTAGGGAATAGAAAAGTATTTGTAAAGTCCATATAAAGGAGGTATTGCCCAGGAATATGGTTTAGTTGTTACATACTTCCATTTAGCAGGCATTTTGGGTGCTGGCTCAAGTCACCTCCCCCTGTGTTTTCAAGGTACATGGTGTATGGAGAGTATTGCAGTTCTGAAGTGGGAATGCTGAACCTGGGGCAGTTTCAGGGCTGAGCCTTAAGCTTTAGGCTGTTCCCACACATCTGTTGTTACAGGTGGTCTCTAGATGCAAAGCACTGGCCCCTTGTCAGTTGTTCCCACCTGAGTTGCGCTGCCCTGCTCTGGGCCCAGACCAAATTTTCTTCAGATGCTTTTTACAAAACATAATTTAAAAAATGCTTTATTTAAAGTATCAGTAAAATGAGCTTATTGACGGAATCTAATCATCTTTCTGCAGCCTTTTCAACCTAAGCACCCCAGCATTGTGCTAGTACATGGAAGCTGGAAAATGACCCCACTGATGCACAGTCATATGGAATTGACTAGTTCCATGGCTGAAGAAACATTAAGGGTAGAAGCTAAATTAGATTCTCAAGTTCTTTGTTTCAGTAATTTTCTATAGAAGATATGATGCTCCCTTAATGTGACACAGTCCTAAATTGAAGCCTCTGACTCTTACACATATCATGAAGCATGGGGGTCATGTCCAAGAAGAAATAAAGATAAGCCTTTCAGTTTACTGGTAGTGTGAAATCATGACTGAAACCCTTAAGCTATGCAATTAAACCTGAACTAAATACTATAGCCAGTCAGAGCATCCCTTTTCAGTAAATGAGCATGATTTTGTGGGCAAGATGCTACTGAAAGGTAGGAATTCTGCATTCTCTTGTAGTGCAATTTTTTCAGCCTTGAGAGGTCACATTCTAAGCAACTGATTTTGTTTGTTCCCTGGATGCCTAAATGAAACGCATTGCTTTGTGAATATACACTCTGTCTTCTGTATAAAAAGATAACTACAGTCTAGTGTCAACCTGTCACTGACAGTGCTCTGCCATATAGGTGGGTCAGCAACAAGGGAGCGCTCATCATGCTGCATACATGAAAAGGATTTTGTGCTATTGAGTCCAGGTTGAATCCCTTCACCTTACACTGTGGCAGACAAGTATTTTGCACCATGGGTACACAGTGCGCAGTTTGAGTAGTCAAAACCATGATAGTTTGAATCACCAGTTTGTGCCACCTTTGCCCAGCACTCCTCTTACTTTCTCCCATCTCTGGGTGTCTGTTTGTCCTCATCAATATAAGGACTGTATGGTGACAAGCATGTCTGATGAATTATCCTCTGTGTGTGTGTGTGGCTGTTTTTTAGGTTTCTGATACACTGAAGCGATTTGCAGTAAAAGTCACCACAGCCAGTGTGAAGGAGCGAAGAGAGATCCTCAATGAACTGGGAAGATGTGTCACTGGGAAAGGTATTTGTGTTTCATTGTCAAAGCATTTTGATGCTGTTGCTTTTGCAGAGTGCAGAATGGGGTCCTGTATATGCTGAAGCATTGTATTTAAAAAGACCTTTGGAATACATAGGCTGTATTTCTAAGGCACTGGGACTGTTGGCACTGGACCATGTGCTTTCTCATTGCCCTCAATTCTAGCAGTAAGATGCATGTGTAAAACAATGTATGTTGTTACTGTGCTTTGTGCTTTCTCTAAGCCATGCCTGGAGCTTGGTGTTTCTAGTGTTGCAACTTTTGCTTATCTCTTTTATTAGTACACTCTTTCCTGTCCTGTCTTTCACCTCTTTATGATCTATTATATCTTCTCTGTCCTAAGCAGTTCTTAACTGATACATATTTAGGATGAGATATGAAGAAACAGTCCTAGCTGTTAAATATTCCCATTGTAGGGGTATCCTGCCTAATTCTTAAGAAATGAATTACATTTTGTCTAGATGAAATTGGAAGAATAATTTAAATTCATGGTTTTCCTAGTGTCTGTTTTAACATGTTGTCTTGTGTTGTTGGGCATTGTTATATAGCAGTTTCACAGCACCCTAGATGTTGTTTTTTTACAATGGCAAGTGAATTGTTTCCTTCTGTGTAAAGTTAATTGCCTGCTTCAGGGTGAAAGGTACCTTATAAATATGAAGATAGTATGATGCTGTCCATAGTTTCATCCTGACAGGCGATTGACTCACTGTACTCCTGGTGTAAAGAGTAAGCAGCTTTCTATAAGTGATTATACATTTAAGTCTTCCTTCTAAGAATTCATAACTCTGCCCTTTTGGATCTAATCTTAATGAAAATGTCATATTTACATTATGAAAGCTGTAACTACAAAGGATACGAGAAAACGTAAAGGTTATGTTGTTTGTCATCTTAACCAATCTCTTTCTGAACAAGATTCTTTGAATCATTACAAATGCAAAGTAGACTTGAGATGTTCCAGAGGAGTGCTGATTTTAAATGACCTCAGTAACATTTATTAGGTGACTCAAAATGAACAAATAAGAGAGATTTGTTTATTCAACTTCTCAGAATTTTCCATAACAAATAATTTAAAAGTGCTGGGCACAATGACTTTTCCTGCATCTTAGAGCACAGAATATTGAGTCATCTCTTTTTTTATTCATGACAGTTCATCAAGGCTTTAGGCTAGTGATTCTCAACCAGGGTGCTGCTGAGCCAGGTGTGAGGAGATAAGCAGATAAGTGCAGGCTAAGGCTTGTCCCTGCTTGGCTGATCCTCCATCTCCACTCCCCAGCCCCTGTGCAAGAAGCAAACACTGTAATATGTACATTAGTTCTTGAAATTGGGTGCCACTCAATTCACAACAGTTTTGGGACCTTGAATCCAGTGAAGGGGTGCCTCAAGCCCATTGAGGTTGAAATGCATTGCTTTAGGCACCAACACGTATGCGCCTGCCTCACTTTTCTGCCATGAACATTTTCATGGAAATCTGGGGGGGGCGGGGAATGAAAGCACAAGCATGTGTGCGGGATTGCAGCCTAGTGTTGGTTCACAGATTAATACTTTGGAATGCAATTTATTTCAGATCTGCCAGAAGGGGCAGTTAAAGTCCTGTGTAAACTCTTCTGTCTCACTCTGCATCGATACCGGTGAGTACAAAAGCCTGGCAAGGCTGTACATTTGCTAGTTAAACCATTCTGTAGTATCTTACATCAGTAAATGGTGGTGGTAATGCAGTTTGGTGTCACTTGGGATTAACATACTATTAGACTCCCACAAGTTTTCAGTTTAAAACCTAATTAAGAGCTGAATGCCATGATCCATTTTATATGAGTAAATCTCCATGCCCTTACAGAGTTTTGGGATTTGGGGGTGTGGGGAGGAGGGATACCTGAATTTTCTGGGGTTGGATATAAACTATGATCTGTAGTGAAGAAGTGGTTAGAAGCCCAGTGCTGCTTCCTGGGGCTGCTAGACTGCCTTTCTCATCCTGTTTTATGGTATGGACATTCCCATAGTGTTCCTGCTGGTTGGGCCAGGCTGCCTGCTGAGCTAGGGATTGGGTCCTGCCATGAATCTAGATGAGATGGTAGTTTTTCTACCAGTTGAAGCAGTAAGGCTGAACTGATGAGAAGATGAAGTGGAATACTCTGTGCAGCCTCCAGAACTTAGTTCATGCAGCTCAGTCAGGATTTGTAACGTTTGCAGAAGGTGGTTTTTGTTCCTTTTCAGAGATGCAGCATCTCGTAGAGCTTTGCAATTGGCTCTCCAACAGCTTGCTGAATCCCAGCCAGAGGCAACAGCAAAGAACCTTCTGCAGTCCCTGCAGTCTTCAGGGATCAGTGGCAAGGCTGGAGTTCCCAGGTGAGGGGGGCCTGAATGATACTCCCTTTGCTTTGTGTGGAGCCATATCCTAAAATGCTGGCATCAGTCCTTTGTGCTCCAGATGGACTCAAATGATCTACTCCTAGGTAGGCTGTTAAATCTTACTCTTCCAGGCACAGTTAGGGAAAGTTATTCAAATTGTATTCTCATTTACCACTCCCACTATCTTCCCTAGAAGCTTGATTGTTCCTTCAAGGGTAACTCTGAAACCTATGCTGAAGCCTATTGTGACTCTCAGACGAGAGTACAGCCATTAGTACTTTTTTGTCTAGACACAGAACATCAAGTACCCATAAGGAAGGGGAGAGGCAAATTCCTTTGGAATACAAGACATTTGTTTATCAGGCTTCGTCTATTATAGCCTGTGATAAGGGTTTACAAAAATTAAATGGTGAAGAGAAAATAAACATGAATTTATTATTTACTATCACAATACAGAACTAGTGGTCACAAAATGAAACTAGTAGGTAGTAAGTTGGAAACAACAAAAGGAAGTTTTTTTCCACACAGAATGCAATTTAAGCATGGAACTTGTTACTACCAGATGTTGTGGCAGCTGACAGTTTAGCCAGATTAAAAAAGGTATTGGACAAATTCTTGGAGGAAAGGGGCATCATTAGCCATTGAGCATGGGAGTTAGGGATACAGCCTCTGAATTAGGACTTCCTGGACCTTAAATGTTGGAGACTGCAAGTGAGAGAGGAACAGTGGAAAAAACCCTGCTTGTACTCAGTTCACTCTCCTTTTCAGCATCCACTCTCTGCCACTGACACACACAGGATTCAGGGCCAGATGGACCTATGATCTGACCCAGTAAATGGCAATTCTTATGTTCTTATGTTTAGTGTGATGGGACTGGGTTACTGTGTTCTTCCATTAACCTTCAAGTACAAGTGAATGGATATCAGCTGCTTTATCAAGAAATGATCAGGAGAGAGGTGTTTATCTGTTAGCCCATCTGGTGTCCAGTTGTTTGCCTTCAAAACCTTCTTATTGACTTCTTTTGGTTTGATTCTGTCACTTGTTCTTGAGGTTTGTTTCTAAAGCATGTTGTATTACAATAGCTCACAGAGACCCCAATTAGGGTACAGGTCCAGAAATGATCGGTGTGATGTAAACAAATCTTCTGCATAAGTCAGGCTAAGAATGACTGAAGTGGAGGACAACTCTAAGAAAAATATCTCATCTTGATTTATGGACTCCAAGTGATATAGTACTTACTCTTGTGGTATTGTGTGACAGCACCTGGATCTTGAGGGATTCTAGTACTCTTCTTTTCTGGAAGGAGGTTGGTTACAGTATTGTACCTTGAGAGAGAAAGAGAAGTCAAAAGACTTGCGTGATCCTTGGAGTTGTGACAAATATATGAAACATCCATCTTCTCTGAGTGGAGCCTGAGGTGGGGATTATAGAAGTGGTTGAAATAGATATGGCACAAATCAGAATACAGTAAAAGCTCCATTAACTGGCACCTTACAAGCCAGCATGTTCTATTAACCAGCATGCCAGCTTGTAAGGTAAAGTGAAACCGGAAGTGCCCACTGTGGCACTTCTGGTTTCGCCAAGCCGCCATGGCCCGGGGCAGAGCAGCCCACGTGGGGCCCACCTCCCTATCCCTCAGGGCCCGCGGGAGGGTCAGCAATGCCCCGGACGTGGCAGGAGAAGTGGCGACCTGAACAGGCAAAGACACCTGTTCGGCCCTCTCAATTAACTGGCATATTTTGTTATTTGGCACCCCCCATTCCCCATGGGTGCCAGATAAAGCTTTTACTGTATCGTGCCAAAATGAAATGTAAGCTGGTGATGAGTAACAGGTGCACAGTGATTCAGCAGTCTGAGGCAGTGCCACTCAGACTGTAAGTGAGAGCAGCAAAAGAGGTTTCAGGGCCACTTGCAGTACAGGGGCCCAGCTGGTAAAATATTTGCACTCTCCTGTCTTGGTATCCTCTATGAAGAGCCATAAGGGAAATACTGTATAAATGATCTTTTTCTTGGTGGTATGAGATCCTCACAAGGTGAAGGTTGGTCCTTGGTGTGTGGTTCAGACTATTCTGCTACTAACAGCATGACTTATTTGGATTGAGACTTGATTTAAAACATGAAATTTCACCTGTTTTTCTTCCCATGAATTTGCTCATTAACCACACAGTGCTCTTCACTTTGGGTCTATTCCTGGGAGTCTGTCTGAGCAATACCTTTCAAGATGTAGATTCACTTCCCTTTTCCCATTTCTCTAACAGCAAGAGCAGTGGATCTGCAGCTGTGCTGGCTCTCTCCTGGACTTGCCTGCTTGCACGTGTAGTCTTCCCAACGTGGGACAAAAGACAAGGGGAAATATGGAAGAAGCTGGTAGGTGCTTTGGAAAGGTCTCTTGTCCTTCAGGGATAAGGAAGATGATTTCAGATGTTGAAGTCTCTTCAGGGTTAATAGGGTAACATGAGCAATTCTGTAATGTGACTCTGATCTCAGGAATGGCAGTTGAAACAATCTGTGTTGTGTTGTGTTATGTTATGTTAAAATATGTTTTGCATTACATTACGTTAAAATGTTCATAGGACCTTTCTCTTGCTGTTTACTGTATACACTTCTACACTTCCGCTTGGCCTAGTTCGTCTCGCCTTGTTTTGGTAAGGGGGACAAGAGACATACATGGGTGTATGAGATTAACAACCCTGACTGGAGACAAACTTGTTTTGCACATTTCTTTACAGAACTGCAGCAGAATTGTTGTTCAAGTCTTGGACCTTCTCACCTCCACCCACAATATATACTACACCATTCGCATCCCAGGCTTGTCCTAGGGAAGCTGCCAGTTCTGCTGTATTATGGGCTGGTGTTGAAGCCTTTCTCTTTAATGTTGTTTGGATGACCTGTACTGTGCACTTAATTTCTGCTGTCTTGGAACATTCAAATTGCCAGATTACCTGATGCAGAACACTGTTCTCTAAACAGTGCACTGATAAAAAAAAAACTTTAATGAAATCTGCTTATAGTCAGTTCTCCACTTTCCTTTAATATCAGCCTCATGAACATCTGCTAAAGTCTTCTGTCATTCAGCTCACAAGGCTTTCCATAATGATGTAATCCAGTGAGGCAGCTACTAACAAAGATCATAAAGGTTTCACACAAAGATACAGTGGACACCACCTTTTTTTTTTTTTCTCAAACAGTAAGCCAATCTGAATGTTTTTTTTGTTTGCTTTTCTCTCTTGGCAGGTGGAAGTTCAATGCTTGCTTTTTTTAGAAGTCCTGGGTGGTTCTCACAAGCATGCAGTGGATGGAGCTGTGAAGAAACTGAAGAGGCTGTGGAAGGAGGTGATGTATAATTAACAGCATGTGACCTTTTTATTGACTTTTCTAAGTTCATTTGAGTTAATATGTCTAATGGTTCCTCCCCACAGAACTTGGGACTGGTGGATCAATACCTTTCTGTCATTCTTGGTCTAGAACCAAACCAGAGTTATGCTGCGATGCTGGGGCTTCTGGTACAGTTCTGCACCATTCAGAAGGAGATGGATGTTGTTAACAGACACAAGGTGTGTGTGGAACAATGGCTTCCTTTCCTCTCCCACAATTCCTTTCCATGAGGAAGTGGGAAGGATGGTTACAGCTAGGCTGAGGCATTACATCTGCCTCTGGTCTCAGCATCTGTCACTGTGATAGTTAAGTGAGGCTGCACTGCTTATAAAGCTCCTGCATGCTGATTTGAGCTATGATTAGGAAAACTGTTTGGTCATCTAGCTTGGCCTATGCATTAGGGACATTGCCATGACTCCTTCCCTCTCTACCCATTTCAGAAGTAGAACTGAGCACCTGACTTTGTGGCTTTTGAGCATTTGGGAGCATTGAGCAAATGGAGGAAACAACTGTGCTTCATATTGGATCTCTGGGGTGACAGTGGGGTTCAGATTATAGCCTATTTAGTGAAGCTGTGTTTTAGAGGTGGAAAACAAGGTAGACCAGGACCCGCAGATGACATTTAGGGAGTGCAAGCAGGTTGTGACATGGCTGTAATTGATGTTCTGTTTATTCAGAGTGCCCTTCTGGATTTCTATGTCAAGACTATCCTTATGAGTAAGACAAAACCTCAGAAACATCTTCTGGTAAGACACACTGTGACAGAATTGCATGCACTTTTGTCCCATGTGTGATGTTCCTTGCTGGGCTGGTGCCTGATTGTGTTGTCTTTGCAGGAAAACTGTTCTCCCCTTCTTCGTTACATGTCTCACGCTGAATTCAAGGACCTGGTCTTACCAACTCTTCAGAAATCCCTGCTGCGGAGCCCTGAGAATGTGATTGAAAGTGAGTCTCCTATAACAGTGGTTCTCAACCTTTTTTGTACCAGGACCCATTTGTAAACATGGATGGCCAGTCCTGACCCAGTGACCCTCATTCCTGACCCCCACCCCTAGGCCCCAGCCACCCAGTGTCTGGGGCAGGGGGTGAGTTTGTGGGATGGGGTGCATTGTGAGTGGCATAGGGGGGCCCCAAGCAGCCCCTTGAAGGCTAGAACTCTGATAGCCTGCAAGGGAAAAGCCAGTTTCCCACGTTTTTTCTTCTTTTAAAGGAGAATCGATTTTTAAACTTTGTTGATCCATTTTTAAAGTTTGTTCATGACCCTTTCATATATTCTCACAACCCACTGTTGGGTCATAACCTACAGCTTAAGAAACACTGTCCTATAAAGTAACAATAGGAAGGGCACGAAGAGCTGTTCCTGGGGCTGGTGGGGATTTCGTGAGATCATCGGGTCCAGCCCCCAAACAGAAGGATAACAGAAGTGTTGGGTCCCTCTGGACTGTGTTCAGGCAGGCTCCTTGCTTTGAGCAGAGCTAGGTGGAGGGATGGTTTGGCTTTGCAGAGTGTAGAGGTGGGGTTCACTGTTTGATTCTAGGGATCTGGATCCTGGTATCTGTTGTTTCGCTTCCGAGTGCTAAGAATAATTCTGAGGATAATTTTCTTACATACGCTGTTTCTGTGGTTTTCTTTTCACTTCTCATGTTGGAACAATTCCTTTGGGCTCTGGCAACTTAGAACCAGAGGAAAGGATACTGGAAGGCTTAAAGCCAGTTGTTTAACAAAATCCATATTACCATAACTTATTTTCTGTCTTCAGCAATCTCCTGTTTGCTGGTATCTGTGAAACTTGATCTCAGCCAATATGCTGTGGACATTGTAAAAGGACTGGCCAGTAAGTACCATAACTTTTTGGATAGTATGCCCCATTCAGAGCAGGACTCCCTACAGGTGCCTTCGTGACTGGTTTGCTATTAAGTGCCACCTTGCTGATCCTGGAAAGGTCCTATCTCTGGGGTTGGAAGGAGAATGTTATGATTTAGAATTGAAATACTGCATGTGAAACTTCTCAAGAGACTTGAGGCTTGTTTTAAGAACTACTACTTCACCCAGCAGCTTTGTTTAGGATGGGAGGATTCTTTGGGGTAAAGCTTGGAGTCTGGAGTCAGCGGAGAGATTTTTTTTTTCCTCCCCTGCTATAGACTTGCTCTGTGCTCGTAGACAAGACGCTTAATCTCTCTGGGTGCCTATACGTGAGTGCGGAGGCTGCTGTGATGCTCTGGAATTCCAGCGTCAGGGAGCAGACTCAGTTAATTGAGTCTGCTGGAGCGTGTCAATTGCTGCGCTCTAGCAGCTTCCCGTGTCTTGTATCAGCGTCCCCATGCTTCAAAATGACAGCAGGGGTGCTTGAACTAAAGCTCGTTGAATGAGCCTTAGTTCAAGTGCCCCTACCACCATTTTGAAGTGCAGGGATGCTGATACAGGAGAGGTCCTCCAGAGGACATGTGAAAGTGCTGTCTGCTAATTTTTCTCCATCTGTAAAAGGGAAGTATCATTCTTCCAATATTGCAGGGGACAGGACTGTACATTTCTAAATACTTTTTAAAGTGCTGCAGAACTGCGGACTTATTATTAGCATTGGTTATATGCCCTTCCAAAGTAAAAGGGAGAAAGTCCTCACTTGGACAGAAGTTAAGACAGGTCGTGTGTCTTGCATAAAGCTGATTCCATGCTTTGTTGTGGGGAGATGTTTAGTCTTGAGTAACTCTTAGCTTGTGCGTTCCATTGTTAGGTCATCTGAAATCCAACAGTCCCCAGCTAATGGATGAGGCAGTGGTGGCATTAAAGAACCTCGCTCGGCAGTGCAGTGACCCGTCAGCTGTGGAGTCACTGGGGAGACACCTGTTTGCTATCCTAGGGGGTGAGTTGGCTAAGTTTGTTTGATTTAAGGGGTCTTCCATATTGTAAATCATCCATAGGCTGAATAGAGCCACCAAGGTCTGGATCATATGGAAAGCTGATCAGGATTCTGTTTAAAAAGAAAAAAACAACATGTTGGTCATTAATTTAATTAATGCTCCAGTTGGGTTGCTTGCAACCAAGTTTTTCACCATCTTGCTTTCTGTGGGCAGGTTCAGAGGGGAAGCTGACAGTGGTGGCTCAAAAGATGAGTGTCCTTTCAGGTAAGGATTTTGAAGCTTTTTTTGTGGTAAAGTATATTAGCTGCTTGAGTTTTCAGTGTCTGGACAGCTGAGAGATGCCAGGCTTCTAATTCTGAATTAGCGGTAGAAGGTGCCAGGTGCTGTTGTACATTGTTGCCTGCATATTAATGACCTGCTGTTCAGGTTGGTGCCAGTTGGAGGCCAGTTGAGACCAACAGAAACTGAGGAAGCTTTAAACATGTCTCACCAAAAAAGAGGAAGTTAGGTGGAATCATCAATGATTGATATTTAGACAGGTCCTGCAACTAAAGAACCTGCCAGATGGTGGAATCCAGGATAGGAAATGGAGAGAAATAGGGGCAGACAGAATTGAAGGGGTTGGGATACACTGTCAGTTGCATTCAACATTGTCCAGGTTTTGTGGTGACTACAGTTGCTGGGTCCTAACTTATGAGTGTTCTGTCATTCCAGGTATTGGCAGTCTTAGTCATCATGCGGTTTCTGGACCCTCAAGTCAAGCCCTAAGTGGAACCATGGCTGAACTTTTCATCCCTTTCCTGCAGCAAGAAGGTGAGGGCACTGTCACATTTTAGTCTGGATCTTCTCAATTTCATCTAAACTAAATTAGCTCTTTGGCTCAGTGCATTATTTAGCAGAAGACCAACTCTTATGCACAGGTGTTGAATTAGAAGAGCCTTTGGGTAGATTCTTGTTATATCTTGATATGAAGCCTTGTAGAGACAATATATCAATTCTATGTAAACAGACAGTGGATTCTTTTCTTTCCCTTCACCGTCTTCTTTCTGGCCTGTCATGCCTTCATTCAGTGCATACCTAGGTTTGAGTTAGCTGTTCTGACTTGGTGTATTGCATTTTTTCCCAGTACATGAAGGCACTTTGGTCCATGCTGTCTCTGTTCTTGCTCTTTGGTGTAATCGGTTCACTACTGAAGTTCCCAGGAACCTGGTGGAGTGGTTAAAGAAAGCTGTCAGCCTCAAAACCTCTACATCAGCTGTGAGACAGGCTTACCTGCAGTGCATGCTGGCCTCTTTCAAAGGTAAACTTCAGTGAACATATAGAACTCTTAGTATACGGAGTAAGAGAAGGACAATCAGAGATACACTTCCTGATGTAAGCCAATAATGGCAGGTATCAGGAAAGTTTGTGTACAAAGGTATCTCATTGTACCCTTCAGATCTCTCCTTTAAAACTCTCCTTTGCAGTCATGCCTATGACAGTGGTTAGGCCATTGATGTAATTAAGGTCACTCCCTAACGAGCTGACCAGTAATGTCTCATTGTTTCTTTATGCTCCACTTGGTCAGTCTACATCTCACCTTCTGTGGTATTATGTTATACTCAGCTCTACAACAAGGACCACTTTTTGTTCTTAGTCGTTGTGTCAACACATGGTGAACTGTAGGGTACAGCCAGCAAGTGGCCAGACTCCTACTTGCCACCTAGCCACCCAGCTCTACACTTTCTGCGTTCTTGTACCCCAGCCAGCACCTCTGCCACTGATGTTGCCACCTGGAGCCCAGGGCTGACCCCCTCTCACCATGGCCATGGCGTAAACTTCTCCGCCCCAGCTCAAATTGCTGCTGTCCTGTGCATGTGTGTAGATGCTGCACCGAGGAGTAGTTTACTTTGGCTCAAAACTGATCTGGAGTTTATTGCTTTGAATTAATGTCACATATAGATTCACCCAGTTTGTATGGGGCCTGGTACATTAGGGGCTAGGTCCATAATAGGAACTCTTAGGAGCAATGTAAATAACAATAATAAAAATCTTTGTTGCTGGGTAAAGGTCTTCAACAGCAATGTATTTTTGGTGATCCTTTGAGAATTGCTTCCAAAGCCTCTCGTTACAGTAGACACAAAACGTTATTCTTCTGTTTAGAGAGCATCAGTTTCAGAAGCCTAAATACAGTATGATGTATAATATGCATTCAAGTAGATCTACCACTGTCACGGAACTGTATGATTCAAAACAAGGAAACGCTTTGCTTTTGAATATTTAAGGGAAAAACTGTTGTTTGATATCCTTAGAATGGAAAATCAAAGGGTGGATGAAAGTCCTTGTCCTTTGATTATTTGAGGTGAGAGAGAGGTGCTGACAGGGCTCTCAAGGAATTCTGCTTTGGCCTCTGGTTCTTTGTTTGGGAAATGTTCTCTGTGAGGATATTCACTGGGTTTTAGACTGCTTGAGTCAGTGTGTGTGATTGAACTGGAATACTTTCTGACATCTTGCAAAGAGAAGTTCAGACTGAGAAGGCAGGATTTTATTTGGGAAGGAAGAATTCGGATGTGGTCCTAGTCTCTCTGGCTTAAAGTATCATTCCAGTAATGCTTTTTGGTGCTGGATTGTCTTTTCTGGAGATTTAAATTGGGAGATTCCCAAAGATTTGTCCCTCACTGGCCATTTTAGAATGGTGGTCCTGGGGGTGGGCTGCATCGGAGGGGGTTTGGGCTGTGATTTGGAAACCCTTGATTTAGACCTGGTCTGTATCTGGATCTATGAGAACAGAGGAGCCATAGGCACATCAGACCATCTGTTCTTGCAGCTGGTTTCCACCTTGTGCAGCTTGTCTCTTCCTCTTTCCTCAGGTGACACGTTGTTACAGGGAATGGACCTAATGCCAGTGCTCATCCAGACAGTGGAAAAGGCAGCATCCCAAAGTACTCAAGTTTCTCTGGTAACAGAAGGAGTTGCTGCATCTTTACTGATCTGTAGGATGTCTGTGGTTGAGGCACAAACTGGTAAGAGCCTGGAAACAGTTGCCAAAGTGAATTTTTAAGGATTTATTTTTTTTCACATCTTTGATACGATACTGTCTATAGTTTATCTGTGGCTTACTCATAGAAAATCATTGCCTTTCTGCAAATTTCTGAAAGTGTAAAACCTGATTAGATTTATCCCCTGTAGAGCTACTGAAGGTAGATCACCTATAGCTGATGTTACAGAAGTGTTACATCACCATAATTCTGAAATTCCTGCACCTCCTTTGCCTTCTTCAGTGCAACATGGTTTTATAACTGCTTGTTTTGTCAATTAGGTCTTAAATTCATGTAGTTTTTCAGAGGCTTTGAATAAGAAGAATGCTTGCTTGTTACTTTTTGTAGTTCGTTGTTGACTTTTTTTTCCTCTCTTAATGAAAGGTAGTGGGATTTTAAGATTGAAAAATGATCCTTTGTAGAAGTGGCTGGAGACCATGCGATCTGCAAGAACAGCGAGACCCTCTTGTCTAATTGAAGGGTATCAGTTAACTTGCCACATACAAAAACTGCCTTTCAGGAACTATCCGAGCTCAGAGTATCTGTTAGAATATAAAGCCTTGTGCCTCATTCCCTCCTTACAAAACAGGACAAGTTCTCTCTTCCCCTTCAGAGTTGACACTGAGATGCCTGTTGCAAAAGGGCATTTTAATTTTTGTGATCTCTTGTCTGAAAAGTTAACGTCAGAAACAGAAAACATTGTAGCAGGTTGGAAGTGGTGTTATCGTGGAATGGGATAATTAGGACGCGTGTTAGTTTATAACTTAAAAACACAGAAGCTAGAAAGAACCCCAGTTAGCGAGAAGAGACAGATTTAAACTGTTTCATGTAATTGCATTGTAAAGCCTAGTTTGTTTATTTCAAAATGTCCTTGACGCAGAAATCTTCCCTTCCTATTAGATGCCAAACTGAGTGGCTTCTGGCAGCTGATCTTAGATGAGAAAAAGCAGATTTTCACTTCTGAGAAGTTCTTGCAGTCTGCAACAGAGGAAGGTGAGTTGTAAAATGTGATTGGAGTTTATTTCATATCCAATATCTGTTTAATCCTGTTACAAGATCAGATTAAAGAGAACAGACTGTTCTCTGTCAGCATCTAAATTAATTGTTCATTTTTAATGTGAATTAATTGATTGCCAGTTACCTTGAGTTATCAAACATGTTTTAAAAAGTGGATATAGACAAAAGATGATTGTGGATAATCTATATCAGTTAGGATGTTATGCAAACCTTAGTGTAGACAAACCCAGAAGAGGAGGCCTGGCAAAGGAAGTGGGTGAAGTGATAGAAGGTTGAGGGAAGAAAGAAGGTGGGAGGATTTGCAAGATGTGTGGAGGAGGAATACCAGGGAAAACAGAACATCAGTTGGATGCTAACTTATAATGTGTGCTGTCTTTGTTCTGCCTTTTCATATTTAAAGTTTAATTGAAAAGCTTTAAAAATCGTTAATAGAACGTGTGCTTAGATAAAAATTACCAACTACCTTTAAAGTGAAGTAGCTGAAAATGAACTGATTTATTAGTCTGCAGAGGTGAATGTGTTTATCTTTGTGTAGGGCTCTGAAGACGTAAACATCAAACATTTACTTTTCCCTTACTGCTATCGAAGTTGAGGATTCAGCATTCCTTCCATGACACTTTTTTCTAGTAGCACTATGGAGAAGTGCTGTATTTCTGACCTTGTCCATGTTGGGAGCAGATCTGCGCGTACATACAGCTGCTGTTTGAACATGCCTGTGCCTAAGTGGGGCTAGAGCTGTTTCTCTGAGTCTATATGAGAATGTTGTTAAACATCCCATTACTAATCATATAAGTTGAAACCTTCAGCTAACCAGTTTCAGTTGCAAACCATGTTTGTATTTTCCTGGGTACCAGAAATCCTACTTGTGCTGTGTCCAAGTGCCAAGACCTCTAGCTTCCCCTCCCATCTTCTGTCATATAAAGTTCTGTATTACTGTATTTGCTTGAATACAAGATGAGCCACCCCCCCCTCCCCCCCCAAATCAGCGCCATTGGCATGCAGGAAAAAGCCTCTTGCCTTATAATCACTAATACATTGTCTAACACAGGGGTGGGCAATTATTTTGGCTGGAGGGCTGCCTACCAAGTTTTGGCAAGCTGCTGAGGGCTGCAAGGGTATCCCCACCTCTGGATGGGAGCCCTGCCCCCCTGGTCACCATCTTGTGACCAGAATTCACACCCCCTAACCCCTGCCAACCACCAACCATGGCCACATGGTTCTCAGGTGCCAATCCCTCCCCTTGCCCCCAGAAGTACTCCTTTTTCAGGAAGGGGTTTTACCATTTTGGAACCAGAAGAATACCAAATTATATTCTAAAAATCAAACATCTACAACATTCATTAATTTGATTAAAAAAAAACCTGTAGTCCTGATTTACATGCATATTTGTGTAGTGTACATAGAGGTGATGGCACAATAGCTTAAAATGAAGTCTTACTCTTGTATATTGTGGGGGGATGGCAGGCAGAGGGGTGTGGGTATAGGTTTGTGGGTGTGGGGGAAGGTGTGAGGGTGTTTGTATGGGGTTTGTGGGTGGGTGGATGGATAGGTATGGGGGTGAGGGAGCATGTGTGTGTGTGGATATGGGGGGCGTGGATGGATATGGAGTTTGTGGGGGGCTGTGTGTGGGGGAGGGTGTCTGGGGTGTGGGGGTATACGTCTATGGCAGTG